CTACACTACTTAATATATAGTATAGGGTGTTATATCTCTAGATTATAGTATAAGATCTTAGCTTATAGCTATTCTATGGCTTTTACACCTAGTAGTAAAAGAGAAGTAGGCATAGAGTAAATAAATATAATATATTAGTAGGTTATGATTATAGCTAACCCCCTAGATTAAATCTAGGGAAGTTATATCTTATTATTATATAGTAGATACTCCTAATCTAATATTATATATATATAGATATTAAGATCCCTCCTATAAAGAACTATAGCATTAGCCACCTGCATACTACTAAGTATAAGGCTTCTACTATCTCTTAAGATCTATTAGATCTCTTTAATAATTATAGATGATTAGGCCCTATTATAGGGGCTAGCTAGTAGGCCATGCTAGTAGATCTATAGGTGGTTATTATTATTATAGGCTAGCAGAGCTAGGGGGGACTAGGGTAGGGGAGCTTTAGTAGTAATTTAGGAGGGTAAAGGAGTAGAGACTATACTAGGGACCCCCTATATCTAATTTAATACTTCCTAGGCCTAAGGTATTATTAATAATAATATTACTAAAGTTAATACCTATACTCCCACTAGTAGCTATAGTATATCTAGCTTATACTCTAGGAGCTTACTAGCTAGTATATATACTTACCTAGTAAGATTAGTAACTTAGTTAGCTTTTAGTCTTTCTATAGGGTAGTCTTAGGTAAAAGCCTTAATACTATAGTAGTACTATATAAAGTAAAATATCTAATTAATAAGAGAGGAAGAGATATTAGCTAGAGAGGCTAGTTATTAAGTAGTAGCTATATTATTTTTATATATTAGCTTATTAGTAGCTAGAAGGGGTGTAAAAATATAATAAAAGTATAGAGAAAATATAGATATATTAAGAGTAGTATATAAAGATACCTAACTTAGTATAGGGAGGCTGTGCCTGCTAGGGCTAAATAACTAGTAGTTAGCTAACTACCCTACCTAAAGAGCTATCTTTAGCAGAAGGTAGCTTAGTATATAGAGTATAGCTTAGAAGTCTATAGATGCCTGGCTAGGGCTATAGTACTATAGTAGAGAGGTCTAGATATTAGTATTAGCTACTAGGTCATAACCTAATTAGCTAGGGCAGTAGTAGGTGCAGGGTCTAGTTAGTTAGAGGTATAGTAGGGTTATAATTTAATTAGTTAGTAGTAGTAATAGAGGCATTATCTAATTAGCTAATTACTAGCTAATATAGTTCCTAATTTAGTGAGATTAGCAGTACATGCATTAGGGGTGATTATAATAATATATTAGCTAGTTTTTAGGGGTTACTAGTGTTCCCTACTTAGATTCCTTAAAGGTTAATATACTATTAGTATATAGTTATCTTTCTTAATAAAGATAGAATTTAGTAAGATAAGATAATCCGCGCGGGTGTGAGGGAGAAGAGATGACTAAGGTAGAATTTGGTGAGATAAGACAATCCGCGCGGGTGCGAGGGAGATAGATAGGCTTTATAGGTAATATAAGCTATTTTATAGATGCTGCTTATTTTTACTAGGAAGTATAATATAATTTAGATAAATTCCTTAGTAGTAAAACCCTTACCTATCCCTCTAACTAGTATTATGATGGGAGACTATTAGGTAGGAGCTAATAAGAGGTGTTAGGCAAGAAATTTTTAATTAATAATTATTATAGTGCAGCTAGAATCTAAGCATACTAAAGTAGGGTAACCCTAGAGGTTTAGATATATATATATATATATACTATAGTATACCTCTAATTATAAAAGGTAAGACTTAGTCTAGTTTAGGATTTATTAGTGAATAAGGTTACTATTAGTAAGTTTATAATATTAGTATAATAAGTATGGGTTTCATCATCCTCCTATAGGATGTATTCTAATTAGACATATTTATATAATTAGTTATTTAAGGGAAATAGGGTAAAGTAGAAGTTATTTTAGCTATTATAGGTTTCTTAGACTCTATAATAATCTTTTCTACAATCTAGATATAATTAGTAGATTTACTATTATTTATACCTGGTTAGGTTTCCTAATACTAAAATACTTCTTAGTAAGCATTATTATTATTCTATAAATTAGAGTATTTATAATCATCCTTAGAGTCCTTATTATTATTATAATAATATATATATTAATACTTATAGTATTAGAAGGGCTGCCTAGGCAGCTAGTTATACTAACTATATTAGGGGTAGGGTCTATAGTAGTTATAGTTCTAGTATACATAGTTATAGTATTAGGGTTAACTATTATATTTATGCTCTATATAGTAAGTCTCCTAGGTATATTAGTATTTATACTAGTAATAATATACTAGATAACTCTAAGCCTAGATAGCTTTATTAGCATATTAGCCCTAGTTATATCTTAGAGGTCTATTATAGATAGTATTATAGGGATAGCTATTTAGGTTTTCCTAGGAGTTTCCTTATAGAGCTAATAAACTATATTACTATGTACTATTATATCTATATCTCTACTATCTAGAGTTACTATAAATGGTTTTAGGGTGTTCCTTATTGCATAGGGTGTAGTAGTTAAACTAGTTTATTTATTTCTTAATTAGAATTATATTAAACTAGGTGATTATAGTATTTTTATTAGGTTTATCTATATTAGCTTAGAGGTATAGATCTAAATTTTACTAAGTATAAAGTATTATACTATACTTATTAGTTGTATTATATTACTTTACTAGAGCTATAATAATAGAGATATAGGTAGAAGAGGTTTATTATTAGTATATATTATAGACTATATACCTAGTTATCTAAAGCTAGGCATAAGCTTTACTAGATAGTATCCTAAATTACTTTTTAATTACTATATACTAATTATCTATAGTATCTATGTGGAGGAGTTTTTACCTTATTAGGTTATCTATTTTATTATTTTACTAAGATAGTACCTTATCCTAGAAGTAGGTATTAAGATTAAGACTAATCTTATAAATATCTTTAGGTTATAATATTACCCTTAACTAGTTAGTAAAGGTGTAGGCAGAACTAATCGTATAATTTATTATCTTTATTAATAATATTATCTATTCCCTAAGAGTATGGTATATCTAGTCAGAAAAAACTAATATCTACTGGCTGCCAGTATCGAGTACTAGTTAGGTTAGTATATATAGGTTTATTTATATTAAGTATTAGATTATAATAAGTATTACTATTATAGGATGTTAATATTATTTAGTATATCATCTACTATTATGATTTATAGTAGGAGTTTATGTATATTATCTTAGTAATAATCCTTATAAGTATTACTAGTTACTAGTTAATAAAACTAATATTATTATCTCTTATTATTATTATAGTATCTACTCCTCTATTCTATAGACCTAGGGGTAAACCAGAGTTTACCTTAGTAGGGTCCTTTATTATACGGTTAAAATATCTATAGATTATTAATAGACCAGTATCTTATAGTATAGGTTAGTTATTATTAAGCTAATTTAGTTCTATAATAAGCTAATATATATAAATTAGAGAACTAGTTATAGAAATAGTAGAAAATAGACCTAGACTATCAGAATTAGAGTTAATCTATAGTGAGGAGAAATAGTTAATAAAGGATAATAATTTAGAAGGTAAGTCTAGTATATTATTAGTTACTATAAGGGGTTAGAGTATATTAGATAGTATATAGAAGATATAGAGGGTCTTATTAACTAGTCTTAGTCTAATATCATTATTACTAATAGGAGGGTTAACTATTTTAATGTTATTATTACTAGATATATTTAGTAGAGTGATAGGTAAGACTTTAGAACATAATATAGAAGAATTCCTTAATAATACTAATAATACTCTTAATCTTAATATAGATATAGTATGCCTAAGTAGTTAGGAGATACTTCTATTATGTCTACTAGTATAGTCTCTAACCTAATAATAGTATTATTAGTCTATTTTAGTATAGGGTAATATAATTATAAGGAATAATCTAATTACTATATTAATAGATTTATACCTAATTAGTTAGGAAGTAGTTAATATTACTTAAAGTAGATATAGAATATAATCTTATTATTCTCTTAGCTGGTTATTAGGTGTGCTAACAGTAAGTGGTCTTAGTAGGGGATATTCTGTCATTCTACTAGTATAGGGTCTAGATATAGTAAGTAGTAGCAAGGGTAATGTTATCTAAGTTATATATAAAATTATAGTCTAAAAAGTAGAAAGTAATAATCTAGTGGGCTAGCAGAATAGATATCTTAGGTACTAGATATAATATATATACTAATTAGGAGACTAACTAATAGTAGAATAAATAAGTTCTTAATAATATTTTAATAGTTTTTAATGGGGTTAGCAAAGGTTTAATAAGGGTGCATGGTTAAAAGCTTCTATAGGCAATCTATATAGATGCTAACTAAGGTTAGTTAGGTAGTTAGCTAGCTAAATAAGAATAAGGTCTGGTGAAGAGAAAAAAAACTAAAGAAAGATAAACTTAGGGGGCCCTAGAAAGAAAAAGAATATGCTACTAAACTATTATTGATTAGTAGATATAAAACTATAATAATGGGTTTTGATTACTTAATAGTAAGAAGATGATCCCTTAAACTAGACCTCCTTACTGGAGATATCTCATTATGTCACATGATTTAGTTCAGAATGTAGTATTATTGTGCTGGTGCCGGAGGTAAGACCAGATCATCACATTTAGGATTATTACCAGTAAGAAATAAAAATGGTATAGATTTTCCTCTAGGTAAATGAAAAGGTTGATACTTTAGTGAAGAATTAAAATTTGCTAAAGATAATGGTTACAAAATAACTGTTTTAAAAGGTTATGAATTTAATAAACAAAGTAATGTTTTTAAAGATTATATTAATAGAATTTATAGTATTAAATCTAATCCAATCAACAATACTCAAAAATCTATAGCTAAAAGTTTATTAAATAATTTATAATATAGATTTGGTATTAATCTTCAAAAACCTATTACTGATGTAGTATCTTTAAATACTTTCCAGAAATATTCTCTTATGTATAAAATAATATCTTATAAATATATTTCTAATAATAAAATATTAGTTAGTTATATACCTAAATTAGATAAAGATATTATAGATAGTCATAATCTTGATATATTTAAAATTCTAAATAAATATAAAGATCATGAAGTACAAAATTTAAATGTTACTTCTATAGCTATCTCTGCTGCTATTACAGCTTATGGTAGAATCCATATAAATAAACTTAAACTTAATGTCTTGAATAAAGGAGGTAAAATCTACTATTCTGACACAGATAGTTTAGTAATTAATATTAAATTAAATAAAGATAAAATAAGTAATAATGAAATAGGTAAATTAAAATTCGAACATTTAGTAGATAGAGGTGTATATATTAATAGTAAAGTTTATTATTTAATAGATAAAGATGGTAACTATATTAGCAGAGCTAAAGGTGTTAAGTCTTCATCTTTAACTTGCTCAGATTATTTAACTTTACTAAATAATCAAAATATTAATATAGCTGTTAAAGTATAAAGTAAAATAAATTGAGAAATAGGAGATGTTAAGAAAAATAGTAAAGATATTTGTATTAATAGTAATAGTTATATTAAATGTAGTAAACTATATAAATCAGGTCTATGTATAAATACTAACCTTTATATATTAATAATATACAGAGGTGTGGTGCAAAAGTATATGGCATGCTAGTAAGCTTAGCTATAAAACTATGATAAGTTTAACTCTATAGTAATTTGTATGGCAGCCTACTTCAATAGATTTTACTATAGAGATAAGATAGAAAGTTTAACTCTAAAGCTATTCAGACCTATAAAAACAGTATTTCTTATGAGATTTTAGATAGTAAGAGATTACTAAGATCTTATCTTCTAGAGAGCTTTCTCTTTAATTAATAGTCTTTCTAATTATAATTATCTTTATTTATATATCCCTTATTATATTTATTACCCCCTTCTAGCTTAATAATAGACTTAATATAATAGATAAGATACTTAATCCACTATTAAATATACTCCTATAGGAGCTTATTTTATATCTTAATCTAGGCCTTCCTATCTTCTTATTATAGGGGGTTCCTTAAGAAGTTATATATTATTTAAGCTAGGGCTAGGCTAGCTTAATAGTATTTATATTAGATAAATTCTTTAGCTAGTTAAGTATCTTCTAGATATTATAAAGATTATAGATAGTCTACTAGAAATAGTAAGCTAGAGCTAAATCTTTAAGAATAATTATATTAGATCTTTTAAAGGTATATTCTTTAATAAAAGATATTACCTTAGGGATAAGGACTTCCTAGATAAATATTAGGTTTAAGAGATTAGTACTTCTCTCTTAGTAAAAAATATATAAAAAAATATATTTATCTTATAATATTTACATTAGTTAACCCCTTTCTTTAAATCCTATATAAGTAAACTATTCTTCTTATTCTATTTTTACTTATATAGATAACTAGATATCTTACTATTCTAAAGCTTTAGATATACTAAAGCTATATTAATCTCTTATTCTATCTTTTATATAGGCTTAAGCTACTAATTTAAAGCTTTAATCTTATATTAAGTAAGTCTCTTATCTTAAGTAGTCTTCAGAGCCTAGATATAAAAAAGATCCTTCTTATTATAAGAGAATACTCCTTATATTATAAAAATACTACTTCTCTTTTAATATAATTATATAACTATAGAATTATCTCTCTCCTAGCTTATATACCATACTATTAGAGCTTTATGCTATTAATTAAGACAGACTAAGGTTTTATTTATAAATATTATATTCTTTTTATCTTTAAGAATCTAATCTTTATAGATAAGATATAAGAGAAGTCTTTTCTATTTTATCTTATTAATAAGACCTATTTTAATAATTATTTTAACTATCTTTAAGTTATGCTGCTTAAGGATATATAAAATAGAAGAATAAGAGATACTAACTTTAAATATAAGTATTTTAGATAATTTTTTATACCTATTTTAATCCCTTCTTATTAATTTAAGGATAGCTTTCTTAGTAGCTTTAGTAATCTCCTTAGGGCAGCCTATATACTTACTATCTTCTATATATTTAGGGAAGATGCATAAATTAATCTATAGATTATAGCTATAATCCTTAGTTTTTTCAACCTAGGTTTAAATCATTTAATAAGGGAGCTAAAGAGTCACCTTAACTACCTTAATATTAACTCTAATAGATATTAAAGTAAGGACTTAAATATATATACTAATTAGGTGAGTAACATACATCTTAGGCTTCTGTTTTAGTGGCTTCAGGGGTGAAAGGCAGGGAGATAGGCAGGTAGGTAGGCAGGTAGTGTGAGAACACTAGGTTTCATATGGGGAATATGACTAGTGTGAAAGAATAGATACTGTGTAGCTCAGATTTCAAGAATTCAGATGATTTAAGTAGATTAATGCTAGGTTAGGATTCTTCCTCTATAAGGGAGAATTTACCTAACCCACTACTTAGTAAGGGCTAACTAAGAGATACCCTTATATAGATAAGATAGATATCCTTATTATATTATTAGGAGGCCTTATAACTACCCCTCCCCTTTATAGGCCTTAGTCCCTTAAGGTCTTTATAAATATAATCTTTATAGTTAGTATTTAGTGCCATATAGTCTTCCTAATCTATAAGCCTCCTCTATATAGTATAGCTATTAAAAAACTATATAAAAGCCTAAAAACCTCTCTATAAAAGTAAAAATTATAGCTAATATAGGAAAAAGATTCTCTTACTACTTATAGAGGCCTAAAGTTAAAGGCCTTATAGCCTATTTTTATTATATAGATAGCTAATTAAGATAGTTATATATCTCTCTCTTAAAAGATAATACTTCTAGCCTCTTACAATCTTCTTTTCTTCTCTTCTTAAGCTATTATTTATTATCTATTATTAAAGATAAGTAGATTTTATCTATCTTTTTCTTATTTTAAGTATCTTTATCCCTCTCTTTATAAGTAGAAATAACTATCTCCTTATATAATACCTTTATATCTATAGATAGTAATCTAAGTTACCTATAAGTAGTTTATCTCTTGCCCCTTAATTATAGTAGGATCTTTTAAGCAGAGTATTATTATAAGCTTATCTTATATAATATCCTTATCTATAGGTTATTTCTATAGCTTATAGATAGATAAATAAACCTCTATATACTTCTTTTTTAATAACTTTAGTTAACTTATAGATTTTATAAATATAGAATATTATATCTATCTCTACCAATACCTCTTTTCTTTTCTTATTTAGTTTATAGATTATAGGGTTCCTCTCCTCTTAGTAATAATAATAGCTACTTCTCTAGCCCTTACTAGATCCTAGATCTAGATTTCTCCCCCCCCTTATTTAGCCCCTATATTAGGGTTCTATAACTCTAATATAGATAGTCCCTTAGCTAGTAAACTAGGTAAGCTACCCTATAACTACTCTCTATAGTTATATATTAATTATTCTAGTTAGGGGATTAATTTATTATTAATCCTCTCTCTACTCTAAGTAGCCTATATATATAGGTAGCTTAGGATATACTATCTCTAGTAGCTATTATAATTAAGGAGTAGGCTTATACTTACTTTATTAATTATCTATCTAATATATAGTTTAACCCTAAGACTATATAGATACTTATTATACTCCTAGGTTATATCTTATAGATAGGTACTAAGCCCCTATCTAGCTATAAATATTAATAGATATTCTTACTAATCTTAAGATATATTTATTACTATAGATTTACTCTTAGCTTCAATTCAATTCAATTTAATTCAATTATTCATTCACACATCTATCAGCCCATCAGCTGAGTGGCGGCAGGTCCCTAAGGGTAGCTGGGCTAGCTACTACTATATATACTGAGTCTTAGCCTATCTATATATACTAAATCTTAGTACATCACCTATGGTCATCTCTTAGTGCATCCCTGAGCTAGGCACCCCTATAGGGCCCCTAGCATCTTCCCCATCTTAGTTAAAGATAAGCTCTGTAATAGCCATTAGTAGCTATATAGACTAGGGGTCGCCACCCCCTGCATAAGCCTAGAATATATCTAGTAAGCCCTAGAACTATCTTAGGAGCTATAATTTAATCATAAATTAAGTAGTGTGTTATACTAGACTAGGCTTACTAAGTAGATAGGTATAGTTAGTCTCCTATAAGTACTACTATACTATATAGAGCTAAAGTACTGCATACTAGGGGTAGGCTATTAGTATATACTAAATATCCTACTAACCTAGGCTATAGGGATATTCTATAGTAGGTATTATACTAAACTAGCTAAGGTAGCCCCTAAGAGTAATCTTACTAGTCTATATCTAAATAACTACTAAGCTAGCTGTGCACTAAAGCCCTATATAAAGCTTTAGTATAGCCTAACTTAGGGCTATAAAGATCTTCTATAAAGAAGATCTATAATTATAATTAGTCTAGAATTAGTGCTATTCCTCCTATAGTAGCTAGTAGAGATAGTAATAAAGAGAGGTATAGAGCACTAGCCCTAATAATCTATTAGGGGTATAGCTATTTACTACTATCTTTACTAATTAATTAGCTATCTTATTACTATAGACCCCCTTATAGCCTAAGAGCTACTAAATATAGATATACTACCTATTAGTATAAAGCTAGTTAAGTAGTACTATAATCCTATATAGGAAGTATTAGCTAGAGGGGCTATATAAGTCTATATAAGCCTAGATTACTACTTAGTTATCTATAAAGATAGTAACTTACTACTCCTACCCTGATAGTAGCTATATAGTAATAATATTTAATACTATCTCTATATTGTTAAGTTCTGTAGTATAGACTATTTATATATCTAGAGAGCTAAGGTAGTAGGTTTAGTAGCCCTATAGAGATATTATTACTATACTAACCCCCTTATCTATACTACTCCTATCTATATAGACTACTACTATATTTAGGCTATATATATTTACTAGCACCCTATAGTGCTTATAGATTATCTACTCCTAAGTATCTATTATAGTAGTCTTAGGTGGCTCCTACTAGGGGCTAACTATAAATAATTTAATAGTCTTAATCTAGCCTGGCTAGATACTAAGGTAGTAGTAGAGTTAGTATTTAAGATGCTATAGTAATAAGATTAGGGGATCTTTATCTAGGTTAGTATACTAGTAGCTAGGGGGGTAGATAGATATAGAGTAGATAGAGTAGATTATCTATTATAGTAATAATATTATAATATATAGATATACCTCCTCTACTATATAGGTAAGATTT